TTCTTCAACTGAAAGGCTGAAGGGCCACAAGCTGGTGGCGCCTGTGAAGAACTTGGATGACAGGGCCTGTCTGAAGCATGGACGCCCCTTGGAGCTGTACAGCAGGACGCAGCATAGATGCATTTGTGTTCGTTGTATGGAAGAAGGTCCGGAGGAAGTTGTCTCTACCGAAGATGAATGGGAGAAGAAGAAGGTCAATAAACATATGCAAAGCCCTATAATTTTTGATTCAAATCTTGACAGCAGTGGATACTTACTTTAAGCTGTTGCTCGACAAATTTGTGTTGTTGACTTCCCTTTTTTGTTTACTACAGGTTCAACTTGACAACAGCAAGACAGAATTAGAAACAAAAATTGAGAGGAGAGAAAAACAATTGGGCGAGATTATTGAATCTCTAAAGAAGTGCAAGGTAAGCTGCAAGGGGGACAAACATTACCGATCCTGGACTCACCTGGAGTGAAAAGCCAATCAGACCAGTCGAAACCGACAGGGCAAGTTTAGCCTTTACAAACACTATGACAGTTAAATGGAGGAGCTGTGAAGTAATTACCCATGCCCACATACTGATGCCATATCTGGGGCTTTGATATGTGCAAGTCCCTTAAAAGGTACAGTTAGAGTTTTGTAGAAATAGAATTTAAACATGATACCATATGGCGTAGTGTATGTAGTATTTATGCATGTGTTGTTCAAAGAAAAAAGGTTCAACAGACAATTGTCGAACAGACAATGCTTAATTTTCTCCTGTTTTCAGGAGCAGCTGGACGGTGAGTGGTGGAATATTGATGTCGTGTTCACCGCTGTGCTTGCGATCGTGGAGGAAGCCCAGGCAAGAGCTCTTCAGCCACTGAAGGACAGGAGGCAGGTTCTGGAGAAAGAGGCGGACGACCTCAAAAAGGAGCTGGAAACAGAGATCACTCGTTTCAAGGTGACCATCTCTGAGCTGGATGAAATATCTTCGCTTGAGGATCACATCCATTTCCTGCAGGTCAGAGGAAATTTCAAGCTTTGCAGGAATGTATGAGAATTTACAGAAAATGACCTCTCAATCAATTAATGTGGCATATTATTAGATCTTTTTTTTTGATTGATTATCTACTGAAGTTTTGTTGGGTAGTGCTGTCTGTTGGTTGATCTCTTTGTCTTTCTGTTTCTCAGAGTTACCCATCTCTTCAAGACCTGGATGACATCAAAGACTGGGCGGAGGTAGAGTTGGACACCTCCCTGTCTTTTGGGACCATGAGAAAAACTACAACAATTATGATGGAACAAATTCAACAGGAGCTGGAGAAGCTGACGTCCATTGGTAATAGTTAAATCAATGGTGTTAAATGTTAAAAGACTAAAAATAAAAAAGTAGATCTAAAACTATTTATTTATTCCACAGAACTTAAGAGAGTTCCAAAGTTTACAGGTACGTGATATATTCAATTTCTTCCTAATTGAAAATAAAGACTTTACTGTTTAGATCATATAATTACTTTGAGTTTGTACTGAACAGTGGACGTAAAGCTGGATCCAACCACTGCGCACCCACGCCTTGTTCTTTCTCATGATGGGAAAGAGGTGAAAGATGGAGGGGAGAATCATGAAGTCGATGATACACCGGAGAGGTTCGACAAGTTTGGCAGTGTCCTGGGGATCAACAGCATGACCACTGGGAAGTCATACTGGGAGGTGGATGTTAGCAACAAGGCCGGGTGGGATCTGGGTGTGGCAAGGGGCAACGCAAACCGCAAGGGGAAACTCTCAGTGAATCCGGACAACGGCTACTGGGTGACTGTGCATTATGAAGACACAAAGTACGCCGCTATGACAGCGCCACCAGTTCGTCTTTCCCCGAAAGAGAAACCTGAGAAGCTGGGAGTGTTTCTGGATTACGAGGAAGGTCTCGTCTCTTTCTACAATCTGACGGCTCAGTCTCACATCTACTCCTTTACCGAGTGTCCGTTCAGGGATGAGCTCTTCCCGTATTTCAGTCCACATGTAAAACAAGATGATAAAAATGGTGATCCTTTGATTATTTCTGCTGTGAAACAATGTGAACAGGTAATGGATGAGTCATGAGGAGTGTGTGCGCGGACAAAGCCTGTGATGTAACTAATTAAACCGCAGAATAAGGCGAACATTAATTTACTATATTACTTAACTGTATAGGCCATGTTTCCAGGGAAATAACTGAAATAAAAAAGGTATGTAGTGGAGTTTTTGACCACTACTGGTGCTATGGAGAAACTATTTTGAATCAGTCCCTGAGAGCATGGATTAAACGGATGTAACCAATCCAGGTTTCACAAGTTAGAGAATATATATATAAAAATTGTTTGTCTATGTCTAAAATGTCTATTTTATTTGGTCATGATAAAACTGTTCTGTTGGGGATGTGAAGTCTACATACTATGTATTCTTTTTACATGTGGTGTTATTCCAATTTGTGTTTTTTTTCTTTGTGTTTTTTAATCTCAAAATCAAATATAACATTTTATATTTAAAAATTATATTTATCTCTGTCTCTTTAATTCACCGCTTGGAACAGATTTGTATTTCCAGGGGTGTAGTAGTGAGGGTAGGGGGCAGGGCACTTAAAAGTGAAGTGTCAAGTGTGTTTCTAGTGAAGTGTTTTTAGTATGACGGCTCTCCACGAGGAGGGGGAATGAATGATTCATTCACAAAGAGAATCCCTAAAAACTTTCTGGATGTCCTGGTGCTCCTCCGGCCCGACGATGCAACGGCCCACGGACCAGAGCGACACCGGTCTGGGTATATTTGGTGTATTTCACAACGACATGTGATCATGTGTGGGTTTAGTAAGAAGTGGGCGTTTGGCGGGTTTTCTCTTTTGAACGGAAACGAAACTGAAAGCAGAAAAAAAAGACATCGGCAGTCAGAGAGGTAACAGAAGAGCACGGAAGAAGACACAAGGTAGGCATCATATCAATACATTTTATTAAAAGGTTTGTCTGTTCAACACAAATTAAGAAACGCTGTTAACTGACTTGCAGGTGCATTATAAGTTGTTTTTTTTTATTCCAGATAAAATAATTTGCCAATATACCATCCTTATTCTGTCTCGTCTTGTTTTCATTTCTATGTTTTATTTATTTGTGTTCTCGGCCTTGGGTACCTTGAAAGGCCTATAAAAATTTAAGTTATTATTTAAAAGTTTTAATTGAAAATAATGATGATGTCTGATGAATAGCTTTTTTTCTGGATGAAAGACTCACCAGAAAAAGAGAGAAAAAAAAAACATTTAAAAAAGCCTTAACATAATATTATATTATATACATTTTATAGGCTGTTCTGTGAGTCTGTTCCTCTTTTATTCTAAAAGTACTGAACCAAGTTGCACAAAACTTGGTGGAGGGATGGGGCTCGGGCATGGTAAATGGGCGGATGCAGGAATTTCCCTTTTCCTTATTTTTCTATCATCAGCTAGACAGCTGTGTGGGAACGTTTGGCCTCGGCTGAGATATGCCTTTACATGAGTGCCAGTCTAGTTGAGAACATGTTTGTCTCTTTTATTTGCCAATTGAATTAATAGGCAAGTAATTTCTTGAAAAACTGAGTATATTTTAAGTAGCTCTGTATCCAAAACCAGTGAATTAGATAAATAAAATGAATGTCAAATGAATTTGAGATTCAGATGAAATTTCTAATATTTGCTCTGCCTAAAAGGGAAGTAATACCTTGAATATAAAAACAACACATGGTACAAGTGTGGAGAGAGGGAAGCTTGTCACTTTCACTACCTGGTTTGCTGCAGCTGTTGCAGCCCCACCTCTTGTCATGATCATCTTTCTCATTCACATACTGTATCTTTATGTGTGTCTAAATATAAACAGTACTTGTCTTATTACATGCTATCCCTGTAGCTGATTAGTTAACAGTCAGATCAATGACCCTACTACTTATGCTATTTTTTAGAGCATTTATCATTATCCTACAGTTGTCACCTGTGGCAACAGTGGCCAAAATCACATTCAGTAGTCTCATCACTTTGAGTTATCTGTTTTAAATATTACAAAGCGTCATTTGAAATGCCAAAAGTGAATAGACCGAGACCCAAATGCCATATTATCTCTCTAATTTACATCATGGTGCTCTCTTAAAGCAGATATGG